ATATATATATATATATATATATATATATATATATATATATATATATATATATATATATATATACGGTATATACGGTATATATATATACGGTTATTTTGGTTTTGTGTGTAATTGATTTTGCAACTTTCTGCAAATTATCTTATTTTTCAACGTTTTTTTCCGGGATAATGCGTGTATCAACTTCGGGGTAGAACCAGACAGTCCACATGTAATTGCCAAGTGCGCAGTCGGTATGTTCAATCAGGATGAACTGAGTCAAGCGGTGTCGAGTTTTTGTTTACCGTGTCTCTCAGAATCTGCTCAGTAGAGTAGAATTGTGGCTTATTTCCGCGTTCACCGTCCAAAGTTATAGAATAAACGTCGGGTGGCTGCACTGCGCAGAGTCTACCCGCATAAAATAGGCCGCCTCGTAGCTGAAGAACTCGCAGCTGATCAGTGGCTAAATGCGTGGCCGTCAATCTGCATGGATTCGCCATCGTGTCTTCCAAGTATGTTTGACAGTCTATCGTGGCGCAACGTTTGGATTTTTTCTTGTCATGACTGATCGACGAGGACGTGCTGGACTTTCGCCTCTTCTTCTTCGACCTCTCGTGTCGGAGCTCTCTCTTCGACAGTGAATCTGCTAGCGATGTCGCCTGTCGAGATGTATGCGAGATATATTATCATTTAAAATATAATTATAATAATAATATTACTATTATTATTGTCAATATAATGATGATAATAATATTACTGTTATTATTGTCAATATAATGATAATAATAATATTACTATTATTATTGTCATTATTATGCTTCGTTCTCATTAATATATTTATTTCGTCGATTCGAATAGAATGCGCGAAAAAATCATGAAAACAGTACGGCGAATAAATGGGTTACCTCGACGGTTCTTTCAGTCACGGGATCTTTAGGCAATGCTGTATCCGTTTCATCGTCTTCCCATTGTTTTAGCACCACCTCTGCTTTGAGTTTCGGTTTAACTTTGGCGCTGCTCTTCTCAAGCTTGACCTCTTGACTCAGCTTTGCCTTCTCAGCGATGATCGAACTGATGACATTCTTGTTGTGTAAGGGAGTCTGCTTCGCTAGCTTTGTCGCCTGCCTCGTTCGTGTTTTCACGTTTTTCTGTGACTTGGCCTGTGACTTCAGAGGCAGCACCCCAGACTTGAACGGTAACGGTGTATAGCCGGTTTTGCTTATATACTGCTGCAAGCGGAAACGGACACGTTATAACTTGACAAAGAGCGCAGAAAAATAACACACGGAACGTTCGAAAGAAAGAAGTCCTCGAGGCAAAGGTAACGCGACTGACCTTCGTTTGTAGATGCCTGTTTTTCGACGACAACACGTATCCCACCAGGGAGCTCTTGCTCTTGGGTTTCTTCGCGACGATTGTTTCCGTCAGGTGTCTGGTACTGCCCGAGGTGCACATGAACTTCTTCGGTCGACCCACCTTCCTCTTCTTAGACGCGGAACTTGAGTTCGCGATCGTAAGCACCGGTGATGACGTCTCGTAATCCAACTAAACAGTAAACATCGTGTTGAAAAATCGAATAGGAAATAAGAAAGAACGGATCAATAATTCCTTGTCCACAACCTTGCTTTATTCTTTAAGCCGTAATAAATTGACCAACCACAGTCGATTATTTTAAAAATAATCACCTGTGGTTGGTCAATTTCTTAAAGAAATTACTTAGCTTAGGAATTAAAGCAAGGTTGTGGAAAAGGTTGTGGGTAAGTAATAAATTATCTCGCGTGCATTACTACAATCTCTTGGATCTGTTTACATAGCACGTGTCACGCGCTTTTACTCGGCAGACGTTAGAGGAGCGAGTTTACTTACAAATTTTTTCTTTTCCTAACAACATCACACGTATGTGTGACTTACCAATCTCTCGCAGACTAGTGGTCTGTTCTTTTCAGATTGCTGAACTGGTGCAATAAGTTAAAGTAAGACAAATGTATATTTTCTCACTCTGACTTATTGCACCAGTTCAGCAGTGCAGCTGAAAAGAACAGACCATAGTATCATTCATATATAAAACATTACATCAAGTATTCAATTTGTGTCTGTAAATTTTATCTGTGCATAAATGCATACGTGCGTATTAAGTAAAACTACTATATAGTATAGACTATAGTGAATTTTCAATTTAAACATTTGCCCTCCTCCTTCTATGGTGGATCGGGGGCTGCCAAAAAATTGGTGTCGACCCCGAGGCTTATTTGTATTATTTGCATCGGATGAGGAGGGGCAACGGTGGAGACGGGCATACATGGACAGCAGGTCTTAAAGGATAGCAACCTTTGACTTTGAGAGACTGACAGCTGTACCATTTGGTACAGTAACATTGTTTCTCTCTGTAGTCGCCGTGCGCTCGGGATCGCGCCAAAGATGTCGCTTCCGAACGGCATCTCTGAGCGTTATCTAGGAAAAGGAGAGTGTCGTGAGCGTGGAGCGTCAGGTAGCTTAGTGGTTTAGAGCCCGGCAAGCGAAAGACCCGGGTTCGAGTCCCGGCCTAGCAGAACCGCGCTCTCGATATTTTTCTCTCTTTGGAACGAAAAGATACGCAGATCTTGAACGCACGGCGTCCCGCCGCCACCTAGTATGCCCTCCTCCTTCTATGGTATTAAGTAAAATTACTATATAGCATAGACTATAGTGAATTTTCAATTTAAACATTTGCTATAACGGTTAATTGGGAGAATCCTTCTACAGCCGTCTTCTACATTTTTGTATGTAATTATATAGAATTTAACTTGCTTATGTGAACATAGAAAGAAAAATGATCGTTTTAACGCGTACATAACGCCGGTATTATATTGCAAACGTGTTGATAATCGTGTGAGAAATCCGCAAGACTGTGTGGATAACCGGCGAAGAACCGGCGTGATCTACGTACCCTTCCCGCGATCTTCTCGTCATCTTCCGGCTTGCCGGGCGGTGAGACCGTGACCGGCGATGGAACCGGTGGTACTGGCGGTATCGGGATGCTGGGTATACTGTCTAAAAGTTTGATGTGGCTTTTGGGCTCGCCAAGCTTGACGAGGTTCACGTTGCACCTCTGCATGGTCAGCACGGTTGAAGTCAAGGGCGGAGGCGGGCTGCTTGGTGAAGCTGGTGGTCTCGGCGGTGACTTTTGCGGAGAGTAGGCGATATCAAATGCGGGCGGCGACGACAGTGGACCGTGCTCGGAACTGAAAGTATTGATAATCGAACGATTCGCGCGTTAGGACACGCGTGAAGTTCTAAACACGGATGATATGCCCATTAATAATAATAATAAAAGTAATATAAATAATAATAGCAAAATAATAATATCGAGTACGGTTTGCACTAACCTGGAGGAGTGGCTCTTCTTTCGCGGCCTACCGGGTTTATTTTTGTCGTCTTTCTTGGGAATCAGCTTTTCCAGCTCGCCGAGTTCCTTCCGCTTCTCCTGGTACTGTTTTTGTAGCTTGGCCATCCTCGCCCTCATGTCCAGCTCCATAGCGTTCATGTTCGGCCAGTCGTCGTTGTCGCGACTGTCCTTCCTCATTGCGAATTTCTTCGCCTCTAACTTCGCACGTGTATTCTTGTAGTCTCTCTCTTCGATAGACAACTGCCTTTTCTCTATTTCGTAGCTGCTTGATTGTTCGGAAGGGCTGTTCGCCTCGAACACCTCGTCGTTCGCGTCTGACGACGTGCCTTCTTTGGCGTTCTTCTCGCAACACGCGTCGTATCTGCGCGACTTGTCGGTTTCGTTCGCGATAACTTGGAGATTTTTCATGAGTTCGCGTCTATTAGCGTAATGATTTTCAATGTCGAGAGAGTGCCCTTTCACAACGGTAGCTTTCTCTTCTCCCTCTTCATCGACGTCGTTATCAGTATTCTCCGTTAAGAAGTCGTCGACGCGCTCGGTTTTGTCTTTCAGTTTCAAAAAGGCCTCTTCCTGCAGCTTGTCGGCTGCTCCGACAGTCTTGCTTGTCGCACCTTCCTCGTAATAATCCGACGACACTTTCTTGCCAACCTTGTTTTCCTCGTCTTCTTCCTCCTCTTCTTCCTCCTCACGATCATCGACCTTAAATCGCTTGGAATGGTGATTATCGATTTCAGGATATTTCCTCTTACCGTTCTTCTCGAGATGAGCATTCCTGCCCAAGTTCATCAACAATCTGCCGGCATGCGAGATTTCCTCCGAACTTTCCAAGCTCAACTTCTCAGGAATCTCGTCGTTCACCTCCTCCATATTCTGTAATGTTTCTTCGGCCAACGCGCAGAGAAATACGAAGTTGTTGACCTTGTTGTTGTTGTTGTTCTCGCCCTGCTGACCTAACAATTTACTCTTGGCCGGTAGCTCTTCCGCACTACTCACGTCCAATTGCGGGTGTTTCAACTGACCGATTCCCTGCTCCAGCTGCTCGATGCTGTTTGACAACAGTTCAAGACCGCTCACGTCGAAGCTCACGTCGCTCGGCTTTTGCTTGGCCATTCTGGACCTCGGCTCTGAAGGCGCGTTCTCGGCGACGAGGTCGGGTTTGCGAGTCGCATGAAGCTCCTCGGCGACTGGCATCTCGCAGCTCCAGATAGTCTTGGGCTTAATGTGACCAGTAATCTCGAAGAGAGTCTTCTCGCTCTTGACGAAGAGTCTCTTTTCCATGAGCGCCTTAATATTATTATTGTTGCTTCTGCTGTCGTTGTTGTTGTCGCTAAGCAGGCACTCCTTGGACGAGTCGCACTTGCTGCCGGCCAAGGAGTGGCTGTCGTCGTCCATTTGGTCCGACGATATTTGCGAGGAGGACACCTCGGTGTCGACGGCCTCCAAGGAACTCGCACAGGATCGCAGGATATGCAGCTTCTTGGGGATCGTCTCGGAATACCTTCTCGATTTTACGCTCTCCGCCAATCTTTCCGCGGCCTCCTCGTCGGAGGCCTTCGGAGGCGGCGGCGTGGTTTCTTGTAGAGCCGCGGCATTCTTTTTCAGCTTCTCCACTACATTCTCGATGCCCGGGTGAGACTTCTCCAGCGAGTGTCGCTTGGGCGGCTCCTGCAACCGAAGCCGCTCGCTGGTGGACGTCGGCTCGCATTGAGACTCATAACAAATCTCGTAGCAGCTGTCGTCGGCCTCCTGCTTGATGACCACCGGTTGTTCCTCCTGGTCGTCGCAATCGATGTTGGGCATGTCGAACGACTTGACCGTGATGTGAGGCCGAGCCTCGCCGATCGAGCAGGTACTTCGGTTCTTGTCGCAGCTCTCGCAATTGGCGGCCGACAATTCCGTCGAGTCGACACTGGGTTTCGACTCGTCGAAGATCCGCGCCTCGGATGTCCTGGAGCCCGTCTGACGCTGGGCTCCGATGCTTTCCGGAATGTTGCTGTTCTTCCTCGATTCGATCTGAAAAGCAAGGCAACGCGTGATCCACGAAACAAGCCGAAACTAAATAGCGCTTAAGGAGTGCTTGCTACTTCAAGTTGTACAGATTTCTTTTTCGTTCTCTTTACGTCCACACATTCGAAGTGATCTTCTTACGTTAACTCTCCGTATACTAAAGAACCTAACTATGATTATGCTAAATTTTCTAGCTCATTAATGGCTCATTAGTGGCTCGTTAATGGCTGCTTTACCGAAAAGTTGAATCAGACCGTATGATTCATCCATTGTTTAGTCATCAATAGATGACCATCAATAGATAGTCATAATAGAGTAAATATTTGTCTACTTTAAAATATATATAATCTAACTACACTGAGAGAAAAATTATCTTAAAATCAACAAATATTTCCTTAACATAATAACGTAATTTCAATTTTAATTTTTTATCTAATCTCAAAATACCAATATGGCGATATATACACTGAGAGAAAAATTATCTTAAAATTAACAAATATTTCCTTGGTGAGTGCCATTAACATATTTACTTAAATCTACATTCTCTTTACTTAAATCAAATGTTGTTTACTTGATTTAAATAAACAATATTTGATTTAAGTAAAGAGAATATAGATTTAAGTAAAAATATGTTAATGGCACCCACCAAGGAAATATTTGCAAATTTTAAGATAATTTTTCTCTCAGTGTATATATCGCCATATTGGTATTTTGAGATTAGATAAAAAATTAAAATTGAAGTTACGTTATTTCATAAAAATGCTAAAAAGAATAAAAATAAATGTTGCATTATTGGCTGACAATTAGTTGTAATTTTTCACTTGATAACAACTGTTATTTTTTCCGTCTGTCCGTCGGTTGACTTTACTTATATAGATCTATGTTTCTCAAGAAATATAGATGTTACATTGTACATAAATTGGCTATCTCGATATAGTAATGTTAGACACAAATCTACTATCTCCTGACACTCGCAAGGTCCAATCTCGATTAACAATTAAATTCTTACCTCCGCCCTGTTCTGAATACTAACATCCTTTCTCACGTTCTCGTCGTCCTTCGACGAGTAACTGTCGCGACGATCGCGCTGGCTCGCGCTGACGTTTTTCCTCCTCGCAAAGAACTCGAGGTTCTCGTGGAAGCTATCACAGTTCTCCTCCGTGATCTCGATGATCCTGGCGCCGATTCTGCCCTCCCTGCAGCTCATCTTGTCCTCTTTGCCGGCCTCCTCGTTGATTCTGTCGTGCTCGATCCCTTTGAGGCTCATGCAGTCCTTAGCCGAGTACTTGGCGCAGTCTGCCATGTTGATGATCGTGTTCTCCGCCTTGTCCACCTTGGTGACGATGCCGCAGATCGGATTCACCGTGGTCGTGGTCGTCGTGATCCTCACCACGTTGCATATCCTCTCCGGCGACGCAACGATCTCGAAGTTCGCGGTGGTCATGTTCGTGCCTGACTGCGCGACTTGGCAAGGACTCAGGTTCTGCTCCTGCTTCACAAGCGGAGGCTGCTCCTCGGTGTCCTCGGGCGTCTCGGTCTGATTCGAGGCGTCCTGCACCCCGTATAACGGCGGCTCGATCGCGTGAACCGTCGGCACTTCCGGCGGGGGGGTCAGACACGAGACTGGCGACGTGGCCTTTGAAAAAAGGAGAAATTTCGCCGCTGCGCTTCCCAAAGTCAAACCGGATGCCTCCCATTCGCCCTTAATGGGCCTATTCTGTGACTTTTAACGACGGTGTCGTTATCGTTGCGCAGATCCTCTGCCATGTATTAATACCTGCTCAACGATAACGACACACTGCGATAACAACACTATTAAAAGAATAGATTTACAAAGGCTCCCTTCCAGTTTCCCGAAGAGTTGCACAATAGAGCGGCAACTGATTGACTTATTCATTTGTCCATTTATTTATTTCAACCGGTAGTCTTTAGCATACCAAGAAAAGCAACGAAACGTGTGCAGGAAGATATCGCGTTTCCTTTTCAAACTCCCGCTCTTCGCTCTCCGATTCTTTTTTAATCTTGCTAGATCGCTCTTCGCGAATATCGATAGCGATACGGATACGCGCCGGACGTGTGAGAAAAACGACGACTAAGAGAGAAAGAGATCCGAAGTAAGAGAAGGGGAAAAGGGGGGGAAAGAGAGAGAGAGAGAGGAGGGGGGGCAGAGTGTAGTGGTAATTACGTCAAGCTCCGGGCGCGGTCCGGCCATTCGCATAATGTGGAAACGTTGTGGCACATTGTATTAATCATGAGCGAGCCCGATTTGCATCGCTATCTGCATAGATATTACGCCGGGCGGCCGCGTAATATTCGCGTCGCGGTGCGTACCGCGCGGTGTAAGGCCGGCCCGTTCGAGCGAGGATTCGAAAGAATGCGTAGCTACCTGCGACCTGCAGTGCGTAGGCTCGGGTTGACTAATCTGCACCAGAGCGGGCGCGTGCGGATAGTAGTGCAGGGTGGTGACCAAAGGTGCCTCCGGCACCAACGCGCCCGTCACGGAGGTCACGGCCTGTAACGCCTTGGTCGATTCCGTGGACGCTGTGAACAATCAGGGGACGCTTTTGTGGTTATGCACGCGAGACACATTCGCGGGATTCTCGACGTCGGTGGTCGGCTGGTGGTCGGGAACGTGTACAAGTAACGCGTTACTTACGATTCGAAAGCTCCTTCCTTTCGGTAACGACTTGTGGTAATGGCGTTATTCATTTTCTTTTCTTCAGTAACGACCACACGGTGAAGCAATTACATGTTTAGAGTAATGAATATAGTCGTTACTTTGCGTAGGGAATATGTATATGTATGTGCATAAAATGGACGGCGGTAAGTCGCGAAAAGAAAGAATCGTCAAAACTTGGTGAAGTAATGGGAATTCTAGGCGGCTCGTTGCTTCTTTGAGTAATGAGTTACTTTAACAGTAACCTTTCTAATCCCGTTTGTGTGTTACAATTCACCTTTCTGACAGCTTAGGAAAGATGTTCTATTTAAAAAAAAATAGACACAGGACTAGACATTTCAAATGTTAATCTTTTTCTGAAAAAAGGAATCGGGTTTCTTCAGTAGGATTGACCTCGCGCACACAATCAACGGTGAAAACGTGTTTCTTCCTCCTCTGCCTGAATTCGAAACAGACGCGAAATTCTACTCACTACTTATTATGGTGGTTGGACTGCTGCTGCAATCTGCTTCGATTTTGACAATCGGCAGCGTGCTTGGTGGCTTCCTCTTGTTGTCGGCGAGCACCAGTCTCGCGCCACCGATGTCGCCGAGTACTTGAATCGAAGGTGGAGCCGGGGGCAGCAAAAGCGGAGGTGGCGCAACATTACCGCCATGATTCGCATAATTCGGCCACACTACTGCTTGTTGCATTTGTTCTGTCGAATGTGAAATTGATCTTCGTCAAGAAAGGGTTCTGCGCCGTTTAAGACAGTGATTAGTCCAACTAATATTAGCTATGATAGTCATTCAGTAGTATTAATAGTCGTTATTTGAAACTTGTTAGAGTAAGAATCGAATTGAAATGAGATCTGAATTAGAGCTAAGTGTTTGTAACAGCTTTACAATAGTGATTTAATAATGTTAATTTTCATTGCTTGACACTTGTATCAAGTGAGATACTCAGATCTGCATTTAGAGTTAGAATTGAATTTGCCAGTTAAGTCGCGATTACAAGTGCGTATATCGTATGATTCAACTGAGAAACTCGGACCTAACTTGAAAATCAGAGTACTTCAGGTGAAACAAGCTTCGCACATAACGACTATTATTAATGCGGGCCCAAGTCACTTCGCTGAAGTGAAACTACTTACCCGCAGCATGAATCAGAAGAAGATGACCGCTGGCCGGATCGCGAACAAGCTGTAAGCCACCCTGAAGACCGACTCCCATCTGCGGGAAGTTTATCGGCTCCGTTGGCATCGCTAGAAAAATCGGGTGATTTCGTTATCTTTATACTGGAAGAAAAATATAGTTTCTTTCGGCGTCAACTACATTTTTTTGTGATTTTAACTAGAAAAATAATTAGAAAAACCATCTTTTTAATAACAGTTACTAAAACAACGGTTCTTCTAATCGTTTTTGTGGTTAAAATCACAAAAGAGTATAGTTGACGCCAAAGACAATTATTTTTCTCTCAGTATAAACGACATATTAATATCAATTCTATATCCCGCGATATAATTTGTCTACATTAGAATTTCGATATTAACTATGTATTAAATACTCATAAGTAAACTTTTTAAAAATACATAACCTTTAAAAGTTCATAAAAGAAGCTTTTATACTTTAGATAATGATACCACAAGTTAAATATCTTACACACAAATATAACACACTAAGAAAATGTTGTTTGTATATAACGCAGTTCAAGTAGAAACTGATAAGAATAAGAGCCTTGTGTAAATACTCGATTACTCATGGGCGCCTGTACTTTAAGAAAAACATGGTAAAAGCAACTGTTTAAGTGACAACTCTACACGATCTCTGTAGAATTATAATGTATACAGTTGTGAATAAATTATTTTGTAGTTGTTGCAACTATAGTTTGAGTTACAATAACTAGAAAGCAATTGATTGAATTGCGTGTACATTAATTTTACACACAAGACACGTGCAGTTGCACCATACAGTTGCCATTATCATATCTTCTTCTCTGAGTGTGTAACTAATTGTTGATCGCAACAGCGACGTGTACTCCAGCACATGTATTGGACGTGTCGATCTGATCCTAAATCCGCATTTTTCGAAAACAATGATTGCATGTCGCGTGCGTCACGTTAAAGGCCAAAGAGCGTGATCAGACGTGTCTCCCAGTCATTCGTGTTGCTTAGACCATTACTCGCGCTGTATAACGGCCGGACCTTCGTCGAGAATAATAAAGAGACCGCCGCGCTCGCTACTACGCCAATTAAATATGCCGGGAGCGTGAAAAATCGGTGTCTCTCGCGCAAACACATCGAACCTTTATTTCGAACACCTGCGAAGAGCGACGAATTAAATACAGGTTATGCGTGAATGATTTACACAGCGCAAAAATACGCGCGAGCAAACGAACGAGCCGATGTAGTTCAGCAGCGTTATTCGGATAAATGTCACTCGGTCAGCGAGACTGGAGAGGTCAGTGAGGGGCGAATTCGATCCGAAATTGTATAGGGTCGCTCGTTAGCGGCCCGGTTAATCCCCCGCGCCGATAGGACCGTGATATACGTCACCAGGCGTTAATTAATTCAGCTTTACTTTTGTTCGAGATACGACTCGCCGGCCCGGCCCGAAATGAGACATTATGCGAATCGCGCATTGCTCGTGTCGCGCAGGAGAGGTCGGGTCAAGTTGGCCCAAAAGTCATATCGATCATCTTTGTTCCGCTCGCGTATTTACCGCAAGAGAAACAGTGGAAAAGGAATCGCGGAGATGCTCCTTTTGAAACGTACACGGAAAAAAAGATCTGCTACGTATGGACAAACTATAATTAGCCAGTATATTATTAGCCACTTTTTCTTTGCTGCAGGAGCCAATTTCCTTGCTATGATAACAAGAAAATCTGTTCCTGCAACAAAAAAAGTAGCTAAAGCAGTAAATTATATTTAGTTGTCGCAAATCTTTAGCAAATTTACTACGTTAGCCACTTTTCTTGCTGTAGAAGCAAATTTTCTTGTTATCATAGCAAAAAAATAAGTTTTTGCAGCCAAAAAAAGTAGCTAACACAGCGAATTATATTTAACTATTCGCATGTAGTAAATTACTCTACTGAAAAATTTCTGTTGAAAATAACAATAGAATTCCCAATTCAATTTTTAGTTGAATTCTCAAATGCGATTTCCGCAAAAATTTGCATGTAAGATCTTAATTGAAATATTTGTATCTGATGAATAATTTATTGAAAATATAATAAACTTTTGCTGAAATGCTTTTGAAAAGCATTTACAATTTTGACCAAACTTCATTAAAATTTCATTATAATTTTATTAATATTTCGATAATATTTAATTAAAAATGTGTAAAAAAATTCAGTGAAAAATCATTATTAATTAAAATAGATTGAGAAAAATATAATGAAGTATTATTCTGTCTAAGTAATAAAAAAAACATATTGGCATATTTTGTGTCATTTCATTTATTCGTGAGATTCGCGTGGGATTCTTGATCCCGTGTCACATAGTCACCCCCATCTTTAGATGACTATGTGCTGTTCAATGCCTAACCTCAACCTCAACGATCGTACTGAAACTAGTAATGTCAATACGCTGTAACGATATCGTGGTAGATTATATTTACAATATACTCTTACAGCGTTCAAAAATATAATGACATATTTGTCGGTAAATGTTTCAAAGGACGTAACAACAATCACAATGCGATTAATATTGATACAATGTTGTATAACTAATTAAATTTAAACATACAACGTGCTCGCAAAAAAGAGAGAAAGAAGGAATATTCTCTTTTTTGCGAGCACGTTGTATATAAAAGTTTGATTATACTACATTGTATCAATATTAATCGCATTGTGATTGTTGTTACGTCCTTTGAAACATTTACCGACAAATATGTCATTACATTTTTAAACGCTATAAGAGTATATTGTAAATACAATCCACCACGATATCGTTACAGCGCATTGCCATCACCAGTTCCCGTATGATCGTTGAGGTTAGGCATTTGAACAGCAGGTCGTTTAAAAATGGATGACCGTGTGACACTGGATCGAATCCACGCGAATCTTACGAATAAATGAAACGACACAAAATATGAAATGACAGTTTTTTTTATCAGGTGTACAACTTTGCTTCCGCCGTTTTTTTCCGAAATTCGAGGCTTTATTGTAAAAAAACTGGTTATACATTTATGATTCAAAGTATTGTCCATCGCTGGCCACTACTTTCTCCCATCTTTTGGGCAGCGTACGAATCCCGCGTCGAAAAAACTGGTCATCTTTTGAGGCGATCCACGAATCGATCCAATTTTTTACTTCTTCATAAGACCGGAAGTGCTGGTCAGTCAGGCCGTGTGCCATTGATCGAAACAAGTGATAGTCAGAGAGAGCAACGTCTGGAGAATACGGCGGGTGGGTTAGGACTTCCCATTTCAACGTTTCCAAGTATGTCTTGACCACTTTCGCAACATGGGGTCGAGCATTGTCATGCTGCAAAATCACTTTATCGTGTCTCTCGTTGTATTGCGGCCGTTTGTCTTTCAATGCTCGGCTCAAACGCATCAATTGCGTTCGATACCGATCGCCTGTGATTGTTTCAGTCGGTTTTAACAGCTCATAATACACTACGCCGAGCTGGTCCCACCAAATACAGAGCATGACCTTGGAGCCG